ACTCAGTACCTATCAAGCACTAAGCTGATTTCCTAAATTTATACTTTCACTGTATTAGCTTAACGCTTAATGTCTCTCTTTTAACATTTATCCCCTTGTGGAATTTGACATTTATTGCTTAATCGGGATTGCTTTGGACATTGTGATCATCACTGACACGAGTTGATTCATGTCTCCTTTTTTCCTCTGTCTTTAAACGCCTCATGATGGCCAAATTTCTCTTGAGTTTTAATCTGCACCCACGGCTACAGTTTGTCATGTGCTTATTAACAACGTCCGTATGCACACAGGAGCTGTACCCAGCCTTCTGCATCCACAACGGCGGCAGCGACCTGGAGCGTCTGCCCACCGCCAGCACCTGCATGAACCTGCTCAAGCTCCCGGAGTTTTGCGACCAGCACCTGATGAGGAACAAGCTGCTGTACGCCATCGAGTCCTCCGCCGGGTTTGAGTTGAGCTGAGGAGGGCGAAGGCTTCTCTGTCCCTGTATCCATGGACTCGACGCCACAGAAACGGCTTGGGAGATAAAAGTTTGAGACAGACAGAAAAAAAAAAGAAAAAAAAAAAAAAAGAAGACGGAAAACAAGTGATGCACTGACCTGCCTGATTTATTGTGTGTTTGTGTGTGGATGTGTGTGTGCGTGTGCCAAGTTAAAGGGTGAGGAGATGATCACCCACAGACTGAAAGGAAAAGGGGTGCGAGGATGAAGCCGGGGTCGGTCGGAAGCCTTTTTTTATCCTTGTTGCTTTTAAGTAATTTAAATGTTTAATCACTTGTCAGAACACTTCAGAACAGTGATGCAGTTGAAATTTGCAGGAAATATTATGCGCTGAAATAAAAACAAGAAACGAGCGGTAGCAGCTGCTCTCTTGTGTAGTATAAAATGAATGGACAGTTATTTTTCACCAAAGATTAAGTGGCATCATATTAAAAAAGGCAATATAACAACAGAGGGACAGACTGTAGGACTCTAAAGCCACCTTGTGGTGAGCCAAGGGCTGTGGAGGCGGAGGAGCTTTTGTGTATATCCATCATTTATTTTCACATAGAGGTCATCAAAACTCCAGTTTTTGTCATTTCTCAAATGATTATTATTACTAGTAATAACTGTCATGGCCGATAACCATACTATAAGTGTGCACACGCTGTCTGAAGTGTGGAAATGACTTATATTGTTGGACTAAAATTGGGGGAAAGTGTTAAATGATTATGGATTTGTGAATATGTACATGTTTACAACTACTCTTGTATTATTCATTTATTCAGTATTTGTACAGGTTTGTTTTTCTTTCCTTTGTTTGGTGAATGGAGGCCTCATGTTTTCACACATGCTCGCTAAGGTGAACAATCTCCTTCCTGGTCAGCGCCTGAAAGTTTGCTCTTAGGGAGCAACTACTGTGTCGTGTTGATAAGGCTTACAATGATCAGTGTACCAACAGGGTGAAAAAAAAAGAAGAGTGTATGGAAATGAATAAACCCACTTTTGTTTTTGCATTTTCTTTCCACAAGTCTCTTTTCTTGTTGCTTGTAATTTACAGTAATGACCAAGACATAAAACAGTGCTTTGTGGGAAAATCTCCTCCTGAGTTTTATGGCCTCTGACATATAATTAAAGAAACATCCAGTTAAGAAACACTGAGCAGAACTATTCTGGCCTCGGGATGCATTATCGGGCTGAGCACAAATTAAGATTGTGTGCGTTTGTCATAAATCTACCTGCCCTCTGATGCAGTACAGCCCGGGAAGATATCCATCCCTCTTTGGACGGAGTCCATCTCTCCATCCTGTCCTGCATGCTGAAACGGCCAACTTGCTGCCCCCTCTCCTCTACTCAGAGGCCGAACTCTGCGCATCCGCTGGGCCAGGGAGCTCAAAGTGGTAATTGGGTCTTAAAAAACGGACTTGTCATTGAAATGAGGGATTCATCTCAATTACCATGAGATTTATTTAAGACTATTACCTTATGATGGATTATAACTGACAAAGTTAATGCAGGATGTTATGAATCATCCTCAGTGCGTAATATACTTGAGCTTGCACACAGGCCTTTTAAGGGCTAATTGAAGCTTTTAGCCTTGTTTATCTTGCTGCAGAGCAAGGAAACATCAAAAATCACTTGACGGTTATTGAAGATTATAGCCTACTTTGCACAATATTACTCCAAAAGTGCTGTCAACAAGGAAGGCCTGCTATTAAACCAGATGAGTGTGAACCCAACATGGAAGCATATCCAACAAGTTAACCATACCTGAATGAGTTCAACAAACACCCAGTCAGAATTACAGTCACAGCTGCAGGCATTGCTGGAAAGAGAGAAAATCTTGCACCCCTCACAGTTCACCTTTTGTTATCATAGATTGCCATCTAGTGGTTAGCTATTAATACTACATTTACAAGTCTGTGTCTTGTATATCTGCAGGACAATTCGTGTAATTCATAAACAAAAACAGACAGCTTCATCATCCAGTGCCATATAACAAAATAGTAAACTTCAGCTCTTCCTGTTGGTGACACCCTGGAAACATTTCAAGGATGCATAATTCTTACTCTTTGGCTACCTGGTAGCAGCAAAAGACAGAAGATATGAGGTTTGACTGCCTGGGCTCCATGGTTATGAATCTACAACCAAAAAGAAATGTCAGAATGTGGGTTTGTTAGCAGCACATTCAGGCAGCATTATGTGTGCCAGTGCTGCCTCAGGAGCATACTTCCTGCTTGTCTCAACATGAACAGGGATTGGCCAACCTTGTATCTGGGGTTTAGAAATGTACATGTAAGCAGTTTACATTGTTTGGCCTATTGTACATTTATCTGCCAAGAGTTATTATTGTCTCATTTTTGTAGCCTTCCTACCTTGTAGCTTATCAAGTGCAATGCAGTCTGCAGCCATAAGAATCAAAAAAAGGCATTAAAAGTCTATACGTTTAGAGACTGCTATGGACTGTATGATATGTAATGACCTGCACATGATATCTATTGCTGTGATTCCTCTTGCTCAATGAGTCTAATTAGATACTGACCGCTCATAATGTCTGTTATAATTAATAGCCATCTGTCATTTTCATTGGTTCCTTAGCTGGCAAGAGCTCCAGCCGGCTTTAACTGCAAGAACGACCTTCATTTTCCATTTAAAATCAATGCAAGTCTGTAATTTCAGGCTCAATTCTGTTCAAAACTGCAATAACCTGTTCTGTTTTATTCTCTTTCTTTGGGTTATGATGAGTTCAACCCACTGACCCCCCCCCCCCCCCCCCCCCCCCCCCCCCCCCCCCCCCTCCCCCCCGCCCCTGGAGCACAGACAGAAAGCAGGAGGCTCACTTTGGAGGGAAATGTGAAGTGTGTTTGAGTGCCAGCTGGTGCCCTGGGATATGNCCCCCCCCATGGATCCTCTGTGTCTTGCCCAGTTTTGAGCTGTAACCTGAAAATATAGAAGCCCATTCTTGCCAAGAAAGTGTGTTAAAACTTTGGCCTACTTGGCTTACTAAATACAAAATGATATACCAAATAATTAAAATTTAGTCACATCTACTGAGATAAAATACTGAATCACTTTGCCAGAGCTATAGCCGATTTCTCTTCTCTTAGTATCTCTAATTTTGATGTCAACTTTTGATCAAAATCTATTAGACACAAATCTTAAACCCAAAAAGATAGCCACCCTATTCCCATGCCGGGTTTCCATGGTAACAAAAAAAGAGGAAACTTGATTTGTGGTTTGCTAATGATGATGTTGTGAAGTGAGACCATGCTTGACTTCATATCTCTCTGACTCAACATTTTTATTAAATATGGGTAAGCATACATAACAGCCCTTTTTCACAGGTTTTAGTTGAAATGAGACAGCCTTTTAAGTTACTTATAGAAAGACATTTTACTCACTATGAGAACTTTTATTTCTAGTATAATTCCTGGCTTTTAACTGGCTTTCTATGGCCACTTGTTTCCTACACTACACGACAGATGGCGCACAAAGACATTTGTCTGGTGTTGGCACCTGCATGTTGCATGACAGAAGCCCGTTAATTAGCCGCATTTATTGACTGTTGCAAAATATCTCAGATGCATGACGCACCTTTGTATCTGTAGTTTTGTAAAACGCACATATGAACAGCAAAGGCAGTGATCTGTCCTCAGATTACAGGGTGTGCTGAGTGTCACCATGGATGTGTGAGCAGGTCAGTGAAAGCGCTGCTGTCGACACTCAAAGACATGGTGCTTTCAAGTACCTCTCGTAAAAATCTGTTTCATCGGTCCAAAGAAGTCTTAGATGCGACTTGACAAGAGTTAACTTCTGAAGAGTCCAATGTGTGACAGATGTTATTGGTGTTTGATTTCAACACGACCTTGAATTATGTATTTGTGTCATCATTTACCAGACCCATCCTTACTATGCTGTGCTAGAATTTATTTATTCACAAAAAGTGAAGGAAATCTTCACAAACTGGTCAGTAATATCAAAAAGAGGAAAGTTGGGGAGCAGCTGAATGCAGAAAAGTGAGAGTTTAGTATGCTTAGTGTATGGACTGATACAAGAATTTAACAAGCACAAAGAACACCTCTAATTTAGGCCCCTAAACTACATCTTTACTGCCAGGTGAACAGCAGGCCTATAGCAGGCCTATAGCAGTGCTCAGTGCTAGATGTTTGGCTTGATGTGTCTTGATGTTTGCCACATTTTAATTGCCGTATTTTAATGCTCATTTGTAATTGTAACTGAATCACCTCGCAAATAAGATAAAGAGTCTTGAAATTTGGCGTCTGTTGAATCATACCTCTATCAATTCAGTTCCAACTCTGTTAACATTGAAAAATAAACAGAATATTACAAGGCTTATCCTTTGAGTGTATCCACCACAGCCCACTGACTCTCAAACAACTTTTGTTCTTTCATTTCTTTCTTTTCATTTTCACTTTTTCATTTTGTATAAAACCTAGAGTACTTGAGTCTACCGTTGTTCTCTCTGATGTCCGACAGTCCCTGAAAGCAGCAGCAACACGATGTGCTGGTTGATGTCAGTGGACACACCGCCACCATCAACTGCAGTTAACGTACAGCTTCCGCACTAAGGCGAAGACAAGTGGTGGACAGCAACAAGAGAGAGGCACCTGGAGCGGACATTTCCTTTAAACAGGTGAGCACTACCTGAATTAGTATAAATGTAAGTGTTGTATGTGTCGATGCGGCTTCAATTTGCTGGAAGCGCGTTGACCGTGTTTACCGTCGCATAGATTCAAGTACTTGAGGGGATGCTGTGGTGTCGCTACCTGATGTCCCCCACGCTATCGCCCGGTATCACATATGAAATACTATTATTATTTTACCACAGATGTTAGATTTCAGCTTTGTCTGAGAGTCAGTGTTGAGGACTGCGTGAAGTAGGCGCTAACGCCAAGCTAGCCTCAAACGTTTCAAATTATGAGTGGAGCTCCGTGCGTTTGCCTGGCTTTAGCTATCCAAACCCAAATAATGATAATATAGCAAAAGCTAACAATGTTAGCTTTAAACGATTTCAAATACTGTAGGGTTTCTGGCAATAATGAGAATATTCGTCAAGCTTTTGGTGGGTAAAATTTACATCCTACCATAACTGTTGTTGTAGCTATATGTTTCTGTCACCATTCCAAACATAGATAGTAAAGGTCTGGCAACAAGAGACCACCAGTCAAATATTAAAGTTACGACATCACTATTTTTAGAGGTCTTTTCGCTTGTTATGTAACCCTATTGCTATTTTATTAATATCCTCATGCAGTATGTCAAAAATGTTCATTCGGCTGTAAGACTTTCTGGAAGTTTCCCTTAATCTGATCGTACTGCTGTGTTTTCTCAAGTTAGTGCAACACTTGTGTTGTTTGATCGGTCTGTTGATGTTAGCTGTCAGAAAGTGCAGAAACATGACCTACAGAGGAAGAAAACATTTTTTCACTCTACACTTTCCTCAGGTTAGACTAGAGTTTGTTTTCATGAACTGTTGTCCCTGGTTACAGAGGCCTGGGCGAGAGGAAGTACTTCAAGGATTAAATTCAACACTTGTTATATTTGTTTGTGTCATAAATTACAGAAAATAATGCTTCATTTACTGTCTCAGTAGCAGCGAACAACAACAAAAAACTTTTTAATTAGTTAGTGAAAATAATTTTGATCACTGATTAAGTAATTTATCAAGCAATCTGATAACATCAGTACTTTTTGACATTTTAGGTGATTAATCGCAAAAGTAATTACAGATTATTTAATGCCGAAAATAATTGTTAGTCAATGAAGAATTTGGGCTGTAACAAGCAAAGTTTAGTATTTTTACTTGAGAAATGACCAGTTAATTGGATAATGTAATACAACATGTGTAGTTTACATTTACTTCAGGAAACAATTTACTGGCATTACTAAAGTAAATGTCAGCAAGGCAGTATTTCCTGCCTAACTCCTTTTAAGTACCAGAAAAAGTTCTGATATTCATTTTGTCGCTTCATCTTTGAAACTAACCAGTTTGGCCACTTTTGTAAAATAAATTACTCAGCTTCAACTTGTGATAATCCAATCTGCATGAGGTCTTGGCAAATCAGACGATATTACAGTGCCAACAACATAGTCCAGTGAGCCAAGTGCTTGTTTTGGTGTTGGAAGTGTAGACACAATAGTTTGATTGTTGGGAACTTTTGGAGATTTCATGTTCTAAACCAGGGTTTAGACAGCTTGATGGATTGTAGTTAGGTTTTGAAATTCCAGTACTTTCGTAACTACAAGCTTCCGTTGTTCAATTATCTTATCAGGGCAATGGCATTAAAAGATAATGACATAATTGTTTTATTTACTGAGATTGGACTTGGACTACACTATTGAGACTGTTTCCATGTGTTTGTTAATAAATGAAAATGAACCCATATAGATAATGACTATTCCCTGTGCTATAGTCAGCTCTACATATTATGTTCCTTTAAGTCATCAAATCTCTTCAATATAGCCTGAACATGTGCAGACTTCTTTGGCAGTTTTACCAATTTCCATTTAAAAAAGCAGGGTTTTTTTGTTTTGTTTTTTTTTTTTAAGAGGCAGATCAGTTCTAACAAATGTCCCCCTGGATTTTATATCTTTTATAACCCACACACTTAATGTTGTGAATGTTTTTGCTAACCATGGAGAAATGGCTGTTTAGAGTAAATGAGATCTTCTTGGGACGATGGCCTCTTAGAACGTGTTTTCAGTAGTAGAAAGTGAAGAGAAAACTGAAATGAGCTGCCTATAATGTGCACACTCTATAGTGTTTAAAGCACAAACACTTCACTTGTTGCTATGAATCATTTCAGGTAAGGTACACACTTATTATTGTGTTGTGTTTAGCTGTTATGCTCTGTCAGCTGTGATTTGTGTTTGGTGGTGGTTTCTAGCTGCTGAGAGCCTGTTTTGTCCGGTGCTCTTGTCTTGTTAATGTCAGATGTGTAGTGGTGTTTGAATGTTCTTTGACACTGACAGACCTACTCCAGCTACATTTTTTTGATTGCAGTTACAGTGAGGGCGACTGTGTACTCACTGTTCAGTTTGTAACGGGATGAGGCTGGGTTTGCAGGTAATTATTCTAAAAATATGAAGTTTGCAGGGGAAAATTGGGCATAAAACAAAAAGGATCTAATTTGCAATCTTGGACAATCACCATTTGTTTTTCAGGAGCACCTTGCTGTCAAAGATAGGAGCAGAAACAGAAACACTGAAGTCTAATCATAGACTTTAATCAACAGATAAAACCTAGAGCTGCTCTCCTGGTAATTAATTTGGAAGTTGTGTGCAGTTGGAAATTGTTCAAGCTTTTTACAAGACAGATGTATCTTTATGAGCCTAAGATGTGAGCATAACATTGGTTACAGTAAGTGTGCAGTTTCAACATGTGGCAATGTTAGGGAAATTCCAGTCACACTTTAGACCTCCAGTCCTGACCTGTGTCCTATTACACCGAGTTTACAGTGAATCTCAGTCTTATCCGATTTCCACTATTATTTCTATATTTGTCTATTTTCTCTTCAATAATATAGCCACTCAGTGCACGCTTAACCTACAGTAGTCCCACATCAAAATGAGCTATTTAGATGTGTGATACTGTGATAGCTGCTGAATACCTCTGCATTATTTAAACTAACCTGTATCACATCTCTCTTTAATGGGATAATATATTTCTACATAGTGACCAGTAGTTAAAATATCAGCAGGCTGATGTTGTATAGTCAATATTGACTTATCACAGCATTGGTATAGTAAGTTATATACAGTATGTTGATAGATATAAACCTACAAATTGCAGTACAAAAATGTTTTATAGTCCACATTTCTATGTTTTTTTTAGACTTATTTTTCTTTTTGAAGTTTAAAGTATTTCTGATGTATTTGTGTTTTTAATCTCTAGTTACTATTTATAATCATTTGATTTCCAGTAAATTTTTCTGACCAAATTTTACTGTAACATTCTTGTTAAATGTTTCTGAAATCTTTATAAGTTTATTGTTTAACTGTAAAATATACAGCCTCAGTACTCTTATATGATGTGTTTTCACATTATGATAGATCCTTTGGTCTAATGTGATTTGTATGTGTGTGAAAACTTGTTCTAACTTGTTCTTTCGAGCTTGAAGTCAAATATTGATGCACTTTAATGGAATTTACCCAAATGATTATTAATTATTCATACACTATGACTCAAAATTGACCAAATTAATTACTGTAAGTACCAAATAACACATAAATCTTTCAAAATGACAGTCCAAATAGTAGGTTTCTACATAAAATAACCTAATATCTTTTCATTCCTGCATTCCTCTTGTTTCTTTGTGATTCACCAGTGCAAGAATTTGACTTTTAGACTCATTTATCTACTGTTACACAACATTGCCCCTTCAAGAGAAATCTCATTTGGCACACCGCTGCAGCACAGCTGAAAAAACATGGAACAGATGTTGTTATAATCTCCCGCTGCTCAATTTGTCTAGAAGTGTTTGCGCCAAAATCTTGTGTAGATTCGAGCCAGTTCTCCATGAAAATTCTGAGCACTGAGCTCAGACCTTTGCTGTTGACTTCCTCTAAATGCAGGCTCCTGAGCCCATGAGCACTACCTCTACGATCCCTCATAAACTTTCCCTTTGGCAGCCTTCTTGAATAATCCCTCCTTCATCTAGCCATCGATTTTGGAGTCGTATCCTGTTGCTCTTGGGAAATCCCTAATTTCAAAGCAAGCTGGGAAATGTTGTCTTTACAAAAAAGCTGCCCTGAGCTATCCTTGCAGCCAGTCATGCTCAATTCACCTGTCAGAGGGTTAGGTGTTGGGTTTGAGATTGTTGTCAAAAATCCAAACCACTTCAGCTCAGCTCCTGTAAAACACAGGAGAAGCAGCTCATCAATGAGGTCTTCACCTCATCACTTACTGGAGAATAAGGCCATCTGCCCTGTGGAGAGGTTTCATTTTGGCTGCTTATTACGTGCAGTCACATTCATTGGGTGTGAGCTTGTGTCCATACTTCAGGGTCAGGGTCAGATTCAAGATCAACCACTAAATTTAGAGAATTGCTTTGAGAATCAGCTCTGTCCTCAACACCACAGTCTGATACACTGCTCTAATATTGCTCCTAACTGGCTTTTTCTTACCTCCTGAAAAGACCTATTTATATACTTGGTCTGCAACTAACGATTATCATCTATTTTAGTGTTTCCTCAGTTAAACAGCTGAAACTTTAAAGGTGTATTCAAATTACTATCATATTAGACAAAGAAAGCCAGATAATCCTGACCTGCTGGCTCTTTAATCACCAGCTCTTTAGTCACAACGAATCAAGACAGTAATAAATTAATAATTACTGTAACTTCCTCTTAGAAATAGACTTGGGAGAACCACTAAATGTCGACAAGTTTATGGGAACAGATGTTCCCACAGTCAATTTGCTAAAAAATGTATGACGTCGTTAAGTTACAGATCGGTCAGGGATTGCTGCACAGCAAAAATCCATTGACCAAATAATAGTAAAATAGTCAAACACTGTTTTTCTTTTGCTGTCTATGTCTTTGTTAACTTAATTTAATAACAGCTTTTCAATTGACTTCTACCAGTGTAAATTTCAGGAAAATGGAAAATATAATAATTGACTACTTCTTTTTGTGAGCAGACAACAAGTGCAGCCGTCACCTCTGGTTCACTGCGGCACTGTGCGATTGACTGACCCACATCTGTTTCTCACTCTGTAGCATGGTTCACGCTGAGCAGAGCCGGAATCCATCAGATCTGTGTTAGCTGTGCTGTGTAATGCTACCTCAGGGCATAAATCTGCACATACATGCATGGATACACATACATACACACACACACACTGCACAGAACCTGGAGTAGCCACATCTCTAGCAGGCACCAGTGTCCATTAAATCTCAACTGCTGCAGGGAACTGGTGACGGGTGAGTGGATCAGTAATGGCTGAGGTGAGGGGGATAAAAGACGATACATTTAAATGATGAGTCAAGATATTGGGCTGGTTTTTAGAAAAACCCTGTGGAAAATGGGTCAAACCTCTTTATATTTAAATTGTGGTTCACATGAGGATATATGGAGAGAGGGAGTTTATAACAGTAATGCTGAAAAAGATTTTTCAAATCAGTAGAATGGGGACCTGAACACAAAAAGAGGGAGTGGATAATGAAGTCTGTGCCATGTCCCAACCAGGAGTCATTCACTGGCACTTCCATGTGCCAAACACCCCCAACCCCCCACATGCTCATAACACACACAAACACAATCTAACTGCAAAGGCCACAGGTTATAAATAGCAAACAAACAGGACACAGTGGACTCCCAGTGTAAGTACTCCTCACTGGTTTGTTTATCATTTTTCATATGATAACTAAGATATCCCTTGTTAATTAATGATCAGTTTTGGGTTGTCTTGGCATTTTCTTCATTGTTTTTTTTTTTTTTTTTTTTTTTTTTTTTTTTTTTTTTTTTTTGGCCTTGTGCACTCTGATGTATGATTTTTGTCCGTCTAAGAGGTATTTTGTTATTTAAGGTCAACGTGTGGAAGGAAATCCAGAAGCTGTTTAGGTGTGCCAACTTTAGGTGTGATTTATCAGATTTGGTGTAAACAGAGAATCTCCTAACATATTCCACATTCTGTCATAGAGGTACAGATTTTATAGCTTCAGGTAAGATATTAAAAAAGGCTAATATTCTAATATTAAAAAGTCATAACACAGGCAGGTTTACCACTTGAAATTCTTAGTAATTTTTAAAACAATGGGTCCCTGATTTCAAACACATGTAAAGCAAGCTTCTCATCACTAGCTGGTAACCGCAGAATTTGTTGGCTAAAACGACAACTGTCTCCGGCATATCTGATGAGGAGTGGTTTGGTTATGACTGGTTTAAAAATGGTGCCTCCGGCAGACTTTTCCGGCTGACTGGTTTTAAAAGAAGGAACATGTAAAAAAGGTCTCACATATATACATGATATTTGGAGGTTGTAAACCTCTCTGAATCCAATAAAGCTTTTAGTTGTTTGATATTTCTTTGTATCTGCCACCAGATCAAGATTCAATATGTTAGCAGCTGTTTTTATTACACGGCAAGCCAGTTAGGTGCAGCGTGCAGGAGAGGTTTTGAGCAGATGACTTTGATGGTAATATGTTGGTGAAGGTTATTTTCTGTGTGCTGTAGTATTGGAAATATTACTTGAATATCTTCCGACATTTTTTCATCAGACTTGTTCTGTCTTGTTTTTGAGAGTCTGGGCTTCATAACTTCAGCATTAGATCATTTAAAAGAATACTTCATGGTCTTTATAGCTATATTCAAAATTCAAAAGCAAAACATGATTCACATTTTCTGTCTTTCAGCCTCAGGGTGAGGGATGATCACCCACTTATTATGTAATTTTGCTTGGCTTGTATTAGCTTAGCTGTCCTCCCCCCCTGCATCTCTATTTCAGTTCAGTTGATTACATTGTTGGGTATTGCCACCCTGTTTAATGCCATTGCCCTCTCCTTCCCCTTTACAAATTTAGCCCTCTGGTGTGGAAGGGAGATATCGTCCCCGTCACACATGGTTACACTCAGTCGAAGTTTGTTGGGCTTTATCTCTCCAGGCAAACATGTCTTAACAGAACTTAACTTTCTTTCCACAGAGGCAACTTGAGGACCCTCGCTCAAGACAGCACCGACAAACACACACACACACAGACAGAGCCATGGTGGAATACTACCAGATATTAGGAGTCCACAAAAATGCAACGCAAGAAGACATCAAAAAGGCGTAAGTGCCCCTGAGTGTTTTCTGCCCCATTTTCCCCCGGTGTTGTTGTTGAATGTTGGTGTAATAGGTTAATTATATCCACCTCTGGCTGTACAAACTGACACAAGGAACGAGAGAGCAGAGAGACTGCAATGCAGAAAGTTTCCACTCTTCTTCCTGTAACCTTGCTGCTGTCAAATACTTTCCCCCTATGCTCACCCACCGCTCACGGTACAACCACTGAACAGGCCAGTTCCAGTTAATTACCTTTCCTCACAGGTTTCTCATTAGCACTTTTTGTTTTTTTTGGACAAGAGAAGAGTTTCTGAAGTGTCTATTTAAATGTTAAGGACAGCAACGCCTGTTTGAAATTAGGCAAGTGCTCCTGAGGACATTAAAAGTTATTTTGGGTAATGCAGAACATCACTATGTAAAGTAGAAGCATGTGAGAGTGGTGAAAACCATTGATTATTACTGATTTATGCTGATTCAATCAACAAATGTCGAGATATCCAATTTTCCAACAATCCAGCATAGAAAGAAGAAAGGTAGCAAATGCTAAGAGTCTGTTATCTCTATGCACTCAGTCGCTTGCTGACAAAGTCAAATGTTATCTAGACTATCACCAATCAATAAGTCTTATCTCTACCCTGTCACCCCAGCTCTCTCTTCTTGATCTCTGATTGAATTATTAGCCATGTTAGCAGTGTAGCCCTAGGGATAACAATGTCTCATGAACTTTGTGCAAACATTCATGTTTTCCTCAGGATGAATTGTAGTAGCTTTGGTGATCCCTTAACATTTCATCTAACGCCATTGTCAGTTCAAAATTTGAATTTGTCCAATTCTATGATTTATCAACAAATACTGGCAAAACTAATGACATTCCCATCAGCCTCAAGCGTACCTGTGCTAATTAGCAAATGTTAGCATCCTAACCTTGCTAAATTAAGATAAATGACAAGGAATTGAAGTTCAGAAAAAGTAAGCAGGGTCACCATTAGTAGTTTCTCCACCAAAGAGTAGTAACAAGTTTATATTTCAACTGTAAAATGTCCTTTTGTCATGGGTTGTGTAAAGAAAATGAATATTGACAGATATGTCTTTGTCTGTCTTTTTTTTTGTTTTTTTTAACTCAAATATTATTATTGATATTGGCCTCAAAAGCATGCTGATGTTAGCATGTAGCTTCAAGCAGTGCCTGCCTTCACTGTTGAACACAGGCTTCAGACTACAAAGACCACAAAAACTGATATGTTACACGATTATCAACTATGCCACATTGTTTAACTTAGTCTTGCTGGTTGACCATTGACCGGGCTTTAAACAGCCAGATAATGCCCCAGATTACAACAAAGACACAGACTACAAAGACTATTCACCGTAAATCCATAACCGGGTGAATCCCTGGATTGTGCAGCCTTTTTTGCTGGCGGACTTTCACTCCCTAGTCTCATCCACAGAATCTGTGTGTCTGCTGCCGGTGCTGCTGCTGGGCTTAGAAACAAACAGCTGATGCAGCGTAAGCCGCTGTGCAAGGCCTACATTGCACGTCAATAGAGTTCACGCTGTCTTTGTTATTTCTGCTTGGGTGGGGAGAAGAACAGTGTATGTATAGAGTAGTGTGCACTGTCTGTGGGTTTGATGTAGTCATGCTTGCCACACTAATAAAAAGACATGCATGTGGATATCTGTTTCTGATAGGGAGATGTTTAGTATATATGCATACAGACACCTTGTATCTCTGTATTAAGACCTAACTGTTTGTCCTTGGCATATCGATGCAGCATACACTGTGTGCTTGTCTCTTATTTTTTCAGCTCATATTTATACTTTGTGGTATTTATGCTCCAGTTACAGAAAATTGGCATTGAAGTGGCATCCAGACAAGAACCCAGACAACAAGGAGGAAGCAGAGAAAAAGTTCAAAGAGCTGTCAGAGGCATATGAAGTGCTCTCAGATGGTAAGATTTTCTGCAGAGAGAAAGGAATTATGTTATATAGTCATGTTGAGCACTGCATATATTAATGTGACAACTGATTCTCTTAAGTGCTCTATTAGAAATAGTTTTTATTATGTAAAAAAAAGGCATGTCTTGTCTTTGGCACCTTAAATATGGAAGCTGACTTTTGTCTGTTGTCATCTCCTGCTGTTAAGAAATGATGAGACTGCACTTCCATTATCTAAATATAGGCGTAGAGATTTTAAGACATTGATTTAATCGAAGGATTGTTTTCTTGATGAATTGTTTGGTAAACAAAATGTTCATCACTAATTTCCAAAACCAAGATTCCCATCTTCAGATTGTTAGATATTCAGTTTTCTGTCATTTAAGAGAATGAAGGGCTGCAAATTGTCATATTTGAAAGGTCGAGAGGTTTCATTTTCCACAATGAAATGTTGGAAGACTTGACTTACTCCAAGTTGGCTTTATGAAAGAGCTTGATCCTGGTCCAGTTTATTAGGCTCATTCAAGACAGTAAGCCCAACCTTAGGAAACAACAGTCTTCATAGCTCTATACGAAAGACAAATTTTGATTGGTACCATAACAGTACTGAGGTTCAATAACTCATTCCTGCTGATAGCTTAAACATTTATCATACATCAAATTTGTAAAACAGCATGCTAACATCTTAGTATATCATATTTCTGTTTCTTGAGTGAATGAGCACAACGGCTTAAATATGACAGCAGAGTGTCTGGTAGGTTTGAGAGCACAGCAGAAGCCTGTAACATTTTATCACACAGTTATGTAGCACAGACCCAGTCACAAGATACAGGTACTTTTAGCATTTAGACTCCACAGTGTCAGGATTGTTTATGCTTGAATGTGTACGTCTCTTCCAGTTTAGTCTGTAAATGTGTTCAGCTGCTGATGGTTAACAGGTTTTTTTTTTTTTTTTTTTTACAGCTGTCCAGTTTGAAATGTTCACAGCAGACAGTCAAGCTGAAACATTAAATGAATTGTAAAAATTATATAAATTATATAATTATGTATCTGTTGGATGTAATGTAGAAATATTGACATTTTCTAGGTTTGAAAGGAATATTAAAATGTTATGTGGCGTGTATCAGCTGAAATTAGTTGGAGGTTCCATAAATTGTTAAATTACACAAGTTACAACTGACATTTTGTTGCATTTTAAGACTATTTCTAAATTATTCATAACAATTTTCATTCATCATCAATCTTTCTGTCTTGCATTTTCCTTGATAAATTCCGGTACTTTAAGTGTGGATAAAATCATAAGATTTTTTATCATATATAACTTGATCTTTAAGTTTAACATTGTGTAAGACACCTTTTACAAACACATAAGTTAGAAACAAGCCCTCTAATAGCACACTGCAGTCTCTCAAAGTTATGTACTACTGCCTACTATAATTTGTCACTGAAAATAAAAATTAAAAGGGACTGTTGGGTTGATGTTAACATATTATTTGCAGGGTGAAGACACCTTGTGACCCTAACTGAGGTTTATAATACAACAGGGGAGGACTCGCAAGGGGGGAACTGGTCCGTTTTATGTATCTCTCAATCTTATCTGAAGCCATACTCTTCCCACCACAGAAAACAAGAGGAATATTTATGACCGATATGGCAAAGAAGGCCTTTCAGGAGGAGGAGGAGGAGGAGGAGGAGGTAAGGAGATGACTTTCAAAATAACATTTATATCTGTGCCAGTGGCTGATAAGATTTCAGTAGTTAATGCCAATAAGGAGACTGCAAAAGTCTCTGTAGATGTGCTGTTTCGTAGTGGCAGGTTCCTACATTGTTCTGAAAGTAATTTAGGCACCAACAGTAACACGTGAGCATCTATTTATTTAAATTTACTACAAATAGCCTGGTATTGCTTTGGTGTTCTTTTTTTATGACCTGTTATGATAGCAGTGTGTGTAATCCTGCCTTTAATCCATAGTTTATGAGCTTTATTGTTGCTTCATGTTTTACAGGAGGCCATTATGATCACTTCGGTGGCGGCAGCTTCACATTCCGTAATCCTGAGGACGTTTTCAGGGAATTCTTTGGTGGCAGAGATCCATTCGCAGAATTGTTTGGTAAGTCCATTTAATTTCTGGCGAGGCAACTGATGGGATTTCTTATTTTCCCAGAGTAGGAAGAGAGAGGGATTGAATAGTGTCATAAGAGTGGGGCGTATGTGATGGCTATTATTAACTTGATAATTTTATCTGGTCAAAAATATACATGGATGGCCTGGGAATGCTCAAGGGAGACGGAGAGAGGAGGAGTACATCCTGTAGGCCTCAGTTTTATGTATGTAATACACTGTTATTTCAGTTTCATAATTAGTTTCCCTGTTAGCTAGGAGCTAGCAGCTCCTGCTGTGTAGAAAATGTGGAAGATGGAGCATAAGTACCCAGAAAACCTTCTGCAAAGCCTGGTGCTAATCCCCTGCAGTGCTGTAATGTGCATCTCCAATACACTAAGCACTGTTCACCTCAGGGGGTCAACTGCCACTAAATGTCATACTTTGGAAGATGCTGGGTATCTCTGCTGGATGTCAACCTCAACTTCATTATGTATCCTTCATGTATAAACCAGGTTTTAGACTATTAATTTATTCCAGCTTTTTTAAAAATGCTCTTCTTATTCTTATCATCCTTATAATCAGTTAAAAGGTGGCTGGATAATTACAGTGTATGGTGTTTGGTTTTTCATTCACTGAAAGGTGCGCCACCTGATGTGTCAGTGCATTATATTAAAAGAGAAAGTAAAAAAAGACCAAGAATATTAGCGTCATTAGCGTACCTCAGGTCAGTTGTAGTTCAGCTGCATGTTGTTTCAACCGTTTCTTCCATATTTTTCTCACAGAGAAATGTGTGCGTTTTTTTTTTTTTTCTTTTCTAGTAGCTTTTTGGTTGTAATACAACCCTTGATTAGATTTGCCAGAGAGAACTTTTGTACTGTTGCCTAATGTATCACACTATTGGTTTCTCATTTGTTGTAATGGCCTCGTCTTGTAGTGCTGAACAGCTGATTGTCTCAGAAGTGTCAATAGTTGTATTAAGTATACTGTAGTAATAGGAGTTTTAGCGCCTGTCCTGGGTTGTCTGGGTTCAGCAGAAGGCTGATTGGAAGGCATGTGTAGTTCACCCTGTGTAGCTCTAAATATGGAGTTCAGACGCAGGCAGAGGATGAATTTGAGCGTCTACATCACTCAACTGGAATGCTTTCAAAAATAGCTTCCGTATTAAAACAAAAGCAGATGTAATAATGCCGTGTGTGTGTGTGTGTGTGTGTGTGAGCACATGTAAAACATGATACGATTCAAGCTCTCAAGCATGGCCATGCAACATAGACTTGTTGGAAAAACTGTTACCAGTATTGAGGTATTACACATGCTTACAAATGAGAACTTGTAGAAAAAATTGAGAACACAGCACACATCTTTTATATCAGACTGCTTTTATAATCTGCCTTTATGACTCTAACATGTATTACTGTATTTGTTTACATGGATAAGATAAAGTGGGGGAGCACAGCTGTTGCTGTTTACTCTTTTCAGTAAACATGAACCGTTTAAAAAAAGTCAAACCATAAAGCTGTCTACACTGTCGCACAGAAGAGCAAAGTTCAAGTTCTATTTTGACTGGGGACAACCTTTATCATGCTTAATTGGTAGGCAACAGGACTGTGTCCATTTTATCAAGTTTATTTCTATTCTATATTAAGTGTGTTTGCTCAAAGAACCATTTTCTTTCCCTATGACCATTTCTCTTTTCCTTAAGATGGCAGACACAGAGAGAGCGAGAGTTTAAATATGTTGTTACAATCCCATCCAGCCTCCAGTCCTGACTGTCCAGCAGCAGCTGGTCCTGTGGATCAGTCACTCACCCACCTAGAGCATCCAGCAGACTGGTGGGGGTGGGGGTGGTGGGGTGGTGGGTGTGCTGTTGAGACAAATACAGATTCACATGATGACGAAGGCGTAGTTGTCCGCCAAGATCAGCGCACACTCATTCTAAAATGAACATGTAAAGAAGTAGACTTGAAGCAGATATCAGCAGACTCCCTTTTATACTCTTTTTGTAGATGTACTGCAGAAATGTGAGATAATATCTCAACAATATCTCCCTGGGCTCAGCTTTTGTACATTATGGCGAACATGGACATTGTGAAAACCCACTGACACTGTCATTTTAATGAATCCTGTGCTACTACACCCTGTGCAGTGCTATACAGGCGTGGCACATTCTTCACTGATTTAATCTCGTTCTTTATGCTTGACAGGTCTTTTTAAAGTTTAGAGTACATAAGCAAAAGAGTGCTTTGCTTTTTCTTTGAGAATGCCTTCACTTTTCTTCAGAACTATCTCTTTGTGTACACTGATCATGTCCATGAGAATGAAAGCAGAATTCAAATGTTTAAACAGCATTTCTCAGTGCTTTCATTCCTCTCTTTCTTCCTCTGATGTCTGCTGTCTTACTGACAGCTTTGTAAGAGCCCAGCTGTCTGCTCTAATGTGTTCTTCTAGGTAAATGGACAGTAATGCAGTTACGACAGTGGTCAGGGGATACTTTTATTTTAAGCTTTCTGTCAGAGAGAACAAGCAAATCTTTCTTGTTGCTGCCACGGTACATTCAAGGTTGAAGGAAGAGTCTTCTTTCAGCAAATGGTGCCAGTGATCCAGCCTTATCCTGCTGGGGTGACCCAGATTGGCAGCGCGCAATTAGTAGCATGTCCACAGGGCTTTAGGATGAGAATTAGTGGTGGGCACTTTGACGGTTTAGGGTTAAAATTGTTCCAGAAATTATAAACTGATGCTCATACATTCACCACAGTTTTTTTTTTTTTTTATATCAGATACTGAAATCTTTTGGAATCTGGAATCGGCCTTAAAGTGGCCATAATGAGTATTATTTTAAACAATGGATCCAATGACTGCTTAATGTAGAAGTAGTCACCGTAGCAACTTAAAAGTAATAATAAGTCAGTATTATGTTGAAGGCCCATCTTTGCTGCTGCCAAGTAGCCAAAAAAAAAACAATAATGTAACATAATTTTTTTCAGTTTTTCTTCAAAAAAACTTTAAACTCAAAAGCTGTTTTTGGATAACTAGTTTCCCATTCACAAATCATCAAATCAGGCTTTATGATTCCCTTCTCAGCTGATGACCCTTTTGATGATTTCTTCGGAGGTGGTCGCAGTCGCCAGAGGGGCGCAAGCCGGAACAGAATGGGCGGCCCGCTCTTTGGTTTTGGGAGCTTCCCAGCATTCGGGCCTGGTTTCTCAGGGTTCGATTCAGGTGCGTAGAAATGGAAACAAATGTCATTACATTGATAAGATGCTGGATTCATCAAGAATTTTATGATGCTTTCGAATTTTAAAAGTAAGTTTAAAAAAGGTTTTTGCTCTTACACAGGTTTTAGCTCATTCGGGGACATGGGTGTAGGAGGTATCACCTCTTTCTCTTCTTCATCTTTTGGCGGCGGTGGAGGAGGAATGGGTAATTTCAGATCTGTGTCGACCTCCACCAAGTTCATCAACGGCAGAAAAATAACTACAAAACGGTACCTAAACTTCTAACTCGCCAGCTTTTACCAGACATCTTTATTAGCCTAACTCTCTAAATGCCTTTTTCTGTTTTTCCTTTTTTGCTTTTTTGTTACAGGATTGTGGAGAACGGCCAAGAGCGAGTCGAAGTGGAGGAGGATGGTCAGTTAAAATCTCTAACAGTAAATGGTAAGGAGCAGCTCCTAAGACTGGATAACAAGTAATTATCGCGCCACAAGATTTGATCAACATACAGTTTTCACACCTGGAAAAAAAACAAAAAAAACAAAACTCACCCAGTGACAATGTTTGTTACCGGTGGTTGGTCTCTCCTCTCTCTGTCCTTCTGCTTCTCATTCCCAAAGAACAATTTTCTCATTTTAGCTTAGCTGAAAGAGAGGCAAGAGAGATGTTCACAGTATTTGTATATTTGTATTTATTCCATTATTCTGGGGGGACCATCTAGCTGGGATTTGTGTTTTTGTTTACTACAATAATTGAATTGTACTTTTCCTTCTGCCATATGCACAAAGCTGGGTATGTGCTATATATAAATGCATATATATATATATATATATATTTTCCTTTTGAGGTGGATATTGTCTTTCTTGTTGTAGCAGGAAAACAAGATGCTGTACCTTTGGACTTTTGCATGTCATTTTTGCTTATTTTCATTTGACCAGTTTAACAAGTGAATGACAAAAGCTTAACCACTGAGCCCTAATGTCTTTAACTTAAACTTCACCTTGCTAACCTGTTAGCTATTACCATGTTCATGCGTGTGTAATATGAATGACATAGATTATTAATAAATTAATTATAAGAATGTGCATTTTTCTTACTTTTACATTTGTTTGTGTATTTGAGAATACCACAGTTTGTTTGTTTGTTTTTGCATGATTGCTGATTCCAGGACGCTGCTTTGTAGTTTCACTGTAACTGTGTCAGCAAACCATGAACCACGCAACACCTTACACCGTTACTAGACGGACAGGGGACTTTTCATTCTTTGTACAAAGAAAGAGAAAAACAAAAATAAAGAGTTCAGATTTGGTCAATAAAGTTGAGTTTGACGTTGTGGAAATGCTGCTGCAGTCACCTGGTGTCTGTGTGGTGTTCTGCTTCTTATCGTCTCACTCTTCCTGGAAGTATGAGGTGTGTGCTTGTGCCTGATCACATTTTAAAACCGCTTCACACAATCGCAATAAAGGAAACCACAGTGCCTGCTTCTGTACACTCACCCATCATACAACTCACCGTGTGCATTATTTTAACCCACTAATGCCTCAATTTCATTCATAGGTGACTCACGCTAGGGCTTGGTCACTGATGATAGTGCACTGGTAATGTGCTGTGTGTTCCCACACTAAAATAATCCCATACATCATTTATCTGAGAGATCATGTGGAAATAATCACTGTTTTCAGCAAAGATACGCCTCTATCTTCAAACCGTTAGGTGTTTTGTTTTATTATCGTCACCTGTGTGGTAGGTACGCTTCACCTTTACAGACCAGGTGAGAATGAAACAACACCCACTTCTAGGATTCATTTGCTCTTCCTCCTGTTTCTTCATTTCTCTCTTTGCCCCTCCCTTATGGACGATTTTATGGGCTTGTATAAGTGCTGATAATGCACCTCTTCTGAATACGCCCTGAACAGAACCTGAGCTCTGCAGAGACGTTGAGGCGAACAAATGACTCAAAATTATATTGTTCAGATCAGTCTCGTGTTTGTTGGGAAAATCCAAAGTGGTATAGAAATATGTCTCGCTTGGAGAGGTTTATTAAAACTGTGGGTTTGTCTACACTTTGTCTCAAACATATGATAGGCTCCGATTCAAAGCTAAATTGGGTAGTTGCGAGTGATTGCAGTTGGCTTAAAGGTCACTGTGCACAGAGAGAAGAGAGTGTGTGTGTTTCTTAAGGAATGTGCTCGGGGCTAGTTTATTTACACAAGACCCACTGCATATTTTTGTGAGAGACGAGTCAAGAGTGGGAAACTGAAGGGAGAGAAAGGGGCAGGGTGAGGCCTTCAGTTGAGTCAAGCTGAAATGTTAAGGCTTAACATTTAATACCACATGTATAAAAGCAAAATTATACAGCCTCTATGCACGTGTTGATAGTGTCAATCAGGCGTGAAGGCCATGTCTTCAAGTATTAGGCTTGTATTTGCTTTGTCCTTCAATTGCTTTTTCACCATCGCTGATTGAATTGGCGGTTACGCTTGCACAGTCCTGTTGCTAGGTGACACTGCAGCCTTGCGCCAATCTCTATTTCGTACATCTCCTGTACACTCTGCCCCTCTCTCTCTCTCTCTCTGTCTCTGTCTCTCTCTCTCTCTCTCTCTCTCTCTCTCTCTCTCTGTAAGTATGTGTTTGTGACGAAATGTGCTCAGTACATCACGGATAGATGTTGTAGATATGGATTATTACACCAACCAGCAATGAAAAATTAAGCAGCAATATCTTATAAAAAATGATAAGATCCTCATCTTAAGATCTACACAAATGTGTTAAATGTTCAGTGTTTTTATCTACATCTAACTTCCCGTGAGCTATAAAATTCAAGAGTCAATGATTGTAATTAAAGAATTGCAGAAAGCACAAGCATTGTTGCAGAAGGACAAATTATTGTTCATAGTGCAATAGCTCCCTCTCCTGGATAAGCATATAGCTCCGTGCCAAAACAGATGGTTTTTCAAGGGAGGGGGGTTTAAGTTATAATAATAATAATGGGATTTGTGACTTATAATATAATTCTTTGCCTCATTTTCAGTCCTGTTTTTTTGCCTATATTTTTTTATACATTTTGCCAAACTGACACCACCAAATTATCTATTATTCCTGTTTGCAGTGCGTCCATGGATGTACAGGCAACTGTCTCAACATTACTTTAATATTGAGGAAAACATAAAAACTGCAGGTAAAAGGGGAGTCAATGTTATGGCCATTCAGTCACAATGAGCATCGGAAATAATAAAGGTGGAAAGTCTGTCCTAAGACTTGTGTCCATCTATACATTGAAAGAATTGATTTCCTTCTGTAGTCACTCGTGTTAATACCCATCATTAAAAAAATTCTCTTCCTAATGCTCTTTCAGTGTAAGTGATGACAGCAGGTTAGGGAGAATTTCCTGTTTCAGTGTAAATGTGGGTTAATTTTTTTTTTTAAGACAGACTTGAAAAATTGTGAACCTACCCTTTAATTGAGGTGTCACTGTGGCATCTCCAGACTGTGCTGCTATGCAGGCCGAACTATAGCGCAGTCACTAACCGTTTTCATAACACCAACACACAGCTGTCGCTTTGACCTCACACAGAGTCTCTGCCTCACTTCTCTCGCTCTGCCTTCGACTCTCACCTCACAGTTTGAAAACCTCTGTGCTAGAACGCAAGGGAGAGAGGGAAGTTACTTTAACAGCTTCGAACAGATGAAGCCGTTTCTCCTTGTCACCCCTCATAAATCACATCTATAAGTGAGAGGTCCAAGTGAAGAGGGATTCTCACTTCAGATTCACTCAGATTAAACACAATGTTTAGAAGCTAGATGGTTTTTCTAAATTCCTACCTGGGCAATCATCTCACAACCCACTATATTTATCTTCTCACTCCCCCCAGGGTTGAGCGACCCCCCCCGGTTGGGAACCACTGCTTCAAAAGACGTGCATAGCCTAAGAAATAACGTTAAATAAGTAGTTGAAAAAATGTCAAATCATTAGATCTGAATTAATTCTGAGATTTTCACTGTTAAAAGGTATTGCTGCCTTTTACCCTCATGTGGCCACTAGATGCCACTGTTTGTATACGAACGACAGTCTCCAGCTGGAATCACGTAACCAGAAGCATAACTGGAATAAATGAAGCAACATGTGACATATATGATTTATGTGGGGGTTTTTTTGTGAGAAAACTTGAATTTCCTAAAATTAAACTGTAAAGAATTCAATCAATGTTCATATTTAAGTGTTTTTGTTCATTATGATTTGATAAAATTGGTTCTGTAGTTCTTCAAAAGGCCATGGAAGAGCTTTGTCTCATAGAAATATGAGATGGGAAGTCTTGTGGCCTGTTCTCCTGCATCCATCCATTCCAACGTCACACATAATAGTGTGATTTCCTGTTCTGAGTTTCGCAACATTATGAAATATGGCGTCCTGTTGGCAGAAAGCAGCATCCGGTTTTAATCCCCTCTCCACCTCGTCTGCTTCACATCTTAGCACGAAAAAAATCTCGGCCCGGAGCCACCGGACACTTTATGAGCGATGGCAAAGATAAGCTGCCGTTTTTTTTGGCCGTGTCTGAACAAGGACACAGACTGTATCTCTCTGTGCTCAGCAGTAGAGTCACATCAGCACGACAGCAGACGCCTTGAACCAGGCGAGGGTGGACTGTTGAAAATAATCTGGTCCATAGTTGTAGTTGTCATGTAGGGTTAGCCTCCTCCTGAACAGTGATTTATTTTAGGCTTCCTCAATTGTCCACTAAACATCCAGTCTGCTGCAGTCAGGCTGCTTTTTTTTTTCATCACACAGATTTTGTGTCTGTGTGTATTTAGGGTGTTAACCCGGGTGTTTGTGCCTGTGTACACGTTCTTGTATTTCAGTCTAGACAGTGTGCATCAAACCGCCTTTACAGACACACACAGCATTGTTTAGCCTGGAGACAAATGACAGGCACTCTCAAGACAATAGCTGCAAATGAAAGCATCCAGGAACTCAACTGTGTTCACTCTGCTTTTCAAATTAAGTCCTTGATCCAGAAAATAAAAGGCCGCCTTTATGAGCATTAAAAGATCTCATTATCATCACTGCTCTTTGATATTGTTTTTGTTGAAATTAATTATCTGATGATGGATTATGCAACGTCTTATCATCCAGGTAAGCGGTCCCATAATAGATGCAAATTGTTGGTCCTCTGGAGTAAAGGAACAAAGTATACAACCTTGAAGTCACATACAGGTTGGCTTAATCCAGCAGTCTAACTTCACCTGATAGGATCACCAGACACATGCACCTTGGGATTAGTTGTTTTTTTTCCCCCCAAAAGCTGGATTGAAAACGAGTGGCTGCAGCCATGAGAGTAAAGCCACCAATTGTCCTGTTTCTGTCGGTCCACTGGGAGCTGGTCTCTCTCTCTCTCTCTCTCTCTCTCTCTCTCTCTCTGCAGGGTCACGTCAGAGAGCTTTTGAAGCTGTGTTCGATTTGAAAAGCTAATTTGAAATAAAGAAATTCAAGTCTAAGGGCTAAAATAACATAAATCACCTGAAAGTTTAAGCATTTTCACCAACAAAATAAACCACGCGCTGCGAAAATTACTCAGCCAATTTTGACCTTAACACACTTGAAAAGCATTCCTGACAAAGAAATTGGACTTGGGTCAAAATGGACGACCTGCAGTAATAAGATGCCTATTCAAACAGAATTGAAATCCAGTGATGTCTTTGTCTTGGTTAAAGCCTGAGCACATGCAGCCTTGAGCTCCTCCTGAGAGAATCGAAAGAGAGCCACCTCCCTCTGCAATGTACACATAAAGAAAGTATATAAAGGCTAGTGTTTCAGTATAGCCACGATTAATGATTAAAATGACTGTGTGTTTATGTTTAGATGGCACTTGCAGCTTTACACCAATGTGTCAAACAAATCCACCATGTCTGTAATGACTTCTGATGTGTCTAAGGCCAAGCTATTACGCACCGTGCAAGGGATTTTGAAATGCTGGTGCAGATCCTGCTCTAAATGGGACCAGGTTCAGCACGGCGAGCATCTGGCCTCCTTTCTTCTCCTCTCCACTGCCTTAATTACACAACACAATGGCGATGAGATCTGCCTGTAATCTCAAAGCATAATAAGTCCCCAACCCCACCCCCACCCCCCATACCCTGCCTGCCACTAATTCAATATAAATGTAAATTACCTAGAGAAAAGAATAACCAAATCTCATTTTATTTACATGACTAATCACAATAAAGTCAGGCAGATGAAATATGAATGAAATATATGGTTGGCGTTTGATAGGAAGGAGGGGTCTGTATTGCCTTGGGGAGTCTTTGAACTTCTTGTTTTATATCATCTTTGTTGTTTCATGTTGGTTACATCAATATACCTTTTTGCACTTGTGCTCAACTTGCTGTAATAGATGTGTGCATCTCTTTTTTCCCCCTGTCTGATTGTATTCACACTGCCAAGGGCATCACAAGGTAATATGTTTCCCTTTCAGCTTACTTTTTCTGTGCCACACATCTCATGTCAGAAAGCTGAAATTCATAGAAGCTACACAGAAAAAAAAAAGAAAGATTTAATGTTGGTTTTAACACCTCAGGCGATCAACCCAGACAGCAGGAAGACAGGCTTTAGTAGTGATTCATTCCCACTCTGCTCTGCTCTGCTCACACCCACAGACATCGCAGCCGAAGACCCCTTGGAGGAAGACTTTCGTCGCCGCAGACAGAACACACTTCCTGGCCTCAGCCTGCACCAGCGCTACCTGAGAAACTCCGCCCAAAACCCCTCAGAGGAAGAGGAGGAGCACGGCCTACAGAGCCTGGGACTAACGAGAGGTCTGCCCAATCACCACTGCAGGGCTGATTAATTACCAGCACACAGCTCTCCTTTAAAGAGTAGAGTCTTAATAAGCGCAGCTAATTGTCTGCTTTTGTGTCTGATGGCTGCACAAAGGGTGATGACGAAGAGTGGCGTGTTTGATTGGCAGATGTAAACACCGAGGACAGAGGTGTTCATTAGGCAGCTCTGTTCTACATCGCAGTAACGAACAGAGTTCAAAGGTCACCCTCTGTTTTCCTTCACAGGGTCAGGGAGTCGCGCACAAAAGCTGTGCCAATATATGCTACATACAGTCGCTGAATGTTTTATAATAGCGGCTTCGTTAGTTAAGGAGGCAACCTTTAACTTCACTGTGCATGGTTCCTGCTGGGATGCAAACAAAGGCCCTAATTCTCTCTGAGATAATGACATAAACTGCTCAAATATGGGTCCTCAGAGAATGTGTTTTCTAAGTAATGCTGCCGGCTGAAACTAAGCATTTTAAATGTGAGGAAAATTAGCACCACATTCTAAGGAGGAGCTCTTTCTATAGTGGTTACAAGCTGTAACTCAAACCTTTATTAATCCTTAATGAATCATTTACTAATGCTTTATAGATATCTTACAAATCATTTATAAGAAAAAGTTTTTGGTTGCCAAGCTGCTGGTGTTTATCTGTGGCATCACACGTTTTAGCTCTTAAATTCATTAAGAAGAACTCTCGAATGGGTTGGTTGACCTCTAGCCCTGTGGAAAAGGGCTGCAGGTCATCTACATCACAGTTAATTACTGAATTGATGACTTATTAAAATGGATGTATGGCACATTTGTCAGAATAATCAGGGTAGTTTGAACAGGTGAGGAAATACTTGATGTGAATAATTGCATTCAGGATTTAGGATGGATCATATACCGTATAGAGAGAGAACTTAGGTTCACCTGGAAATATTCTTTTTTTAAATTGAGTTTTAATTAGTTTTTTGTTTTAATTTCTTAAAGATAAGAGAGAAAATATTGACATCAAACTTGGAGAGGTTTGTGGTATACATTCAGTGCAATTTGTACACTCAAACAGGACAAAACAAGAAATATATTACTAACTAACTATTTTATACTTTTTGGTTTTTGTCATCTTTGGGGTGAACAGAGTAACTGTATACCTCAGTTCCAGTCTTTGTGTTAAGCTAAGCTAAATGGCTTTTGGCTGTAACTTCATATTTATTATACAAAGATGAAAGCAGTGTCATCTAACTCTCAGCCAGCAAATAAATTAGCATATTTCTTTAATGACTTTCTTACCAGAGAGATTTTTCACAACATGGCAGCTCGTAAGTTGTTCTTATTAACAGCGTATAACTGTCCTATAGAGCAAGTGATTTATTAACATTAATAATGCCATTAGTTACAGCTTATAAACCCAAATAATTTAAATGTTTAATAGTAATGTTTGTTTGCTCTTTTATTTTGTAGGACACATGGACACAAAAAGGAAGAAACTGTGGCTAAAGGAGGGAGAGTCCAAAAAGAAAAGAGCTCCTCGACTCTTCCCACGATTTGGTGGGCTCGGTGCCTTTTTTTAAACACTCAGCCAAACACTTGGACACGCACACACACCTACATATTTGTTGGCAGAAGCGCCATCAATCATACGTGGCATTAGTTCATCTTTGCTATGTATCAGAGGCCCAACATCCCCCACTGTGCTGTGCTCTATCTCCTCTTGTCTATCAGCTGCAGTGCAGAGCATACCTCCTGCATGCTTCCATAGCCTGCAGAGACCTCACTTCAGTGTTTTGTGTTGTCTAAGGTATATTTTTAGTTGTTAAGCTTTTGCTATTGCTGTATTTATTGTGGGTGGGCCCTATGGATGTACAGTGAGCGTTCAGAACCTTAATTAATCTCCTATGATTGGACTTTTCCACTTTTTACAGCATGTTTTTAGAGAGTGTTATTGTGTTTGAAAGGGTTCAAATGGAATGAGAATTACAGTAGCAGTCACAGTGTTGTGATAAGCATGAAAATTACTGGACTAATACTGTATAGCATGTGTGAATAAGTGAAGGTCAAGCTATTCAGTGAATCCTTTTTCATAGAGACAGATAGAGACAATAAAGACAAGGAGAGAGAGGGATATCTGGGGAATTCAAGAATAAAACATTGAAGAGAGAGTTTTATTACACAAGGAGATGAACATGTTCTGCTCACTCCTGCGTCATACATGAAAACTGAATATCAACAATCTGGCAGTGACATTGTCCACTCTTTACCACTAGACTCACAGTGTGAAAAATAGCTTTTAACTCCTCTCAAAGTCATTATTTTCTTTTTTGTAAGATTTCTTTGTACAGAATAAATTCAGTAACATATTAACCTTCCATAAGTGTTTCGTAAAAGATTATCTGAACAAAGTGACAGTTTCCCTTATTTGATTTGTCCTTGACAGGTTGTTCACATGATAACTGTAAGTGGAAATGTGGAAATGTCTGAGAAATGTTCATTTTTTATGGACTCTTACCAATAAATCCTTAAAGAAAAACATGTCCTCATGTATAACTACTTTGTATTGTATCATGATATCATTTCATATTGCGTCGTGTCATGTCTTGTCGTGTCGCATCGCATAGTGTCGTATCGTATCGTATAGTATCATATCGTATCGTATAGTGTCGTATCGTATCGTATCGTATCATATCGTATCGTATCGTATCGTATTGAATAGTATCATATCAAGTTGTACCGTGTCATATCAGGTCGTATCGTGTCATATGGTATCAAATCGTGTCGAGTCGTATTGAATTATATCAAAATGCATCATATCATATCATATTGTGTCGTACCGTATCGTGTAGTATCGTACTGTAGTGTATCGTATCAGAAAATTTTATTGATCACCAGAAGAAAAATTTGTTTGGTAAACCTTATGGAAAGACAAAAAAACAAACAACAACAACAAAACACTAGGATCACTAAACAACCCCAAAACAAAAACCCAATGTAATTTCATAGTATAGTAAAGCATAAAAAAAGTCATGGCATAATAAGGCATGAAAATGTCATAGTATAGTAAGGTACAAAAAACATCAGAGCATATTGAGGCATAAAAAAAGTCATAGCATAATGAAAAAAAATGTGAAAAAAGATCATAGTATAGTAAAGCATATAAATGTCAAAAAAATGTCATAGTATAGTAAGGCATTAAATTGCCATGATATAGTGAGACATAAAAAGGTCATACTATAGTAAGGCAAAAAAATATAAAAAAAACGCCATAGTATAGCAAGGCAAAAAAATGTCAAAAATGTCATAGTATAGTAAGGCATTAAATGGCCATAGTATAGTAAGACATAAAAATGTCAGACTATAGTAAGGAATAAAAATGTCAAAAAATGTCATAGTATAGTAAGGCACAAAAAAGTCAGAAAATGTCATAGTATACTAAGGCATAAAATCGCCATAGTATAGTGAGGCATAAAGATATCAAAAAACCGTCATATTGTATTAAGGCATATAAATGTCAAAAAACGTCATAGTATACTAAGGCATGAAATCGCCATAGTATAGTAAGACATAAAAATGTCAAAAAATTTCATAGCATAATAAGGCAATGAATTGATATAGTATAGTTACAAAAAAAAGGTCATAGTATAGTAAGACATAAAAATATCAAAAAACGTCATAGTATATTATGGCACAAAAATGTCAAAAAATGTTATAGTATAGTAAGGCATAAAATCGCCACAGTATAGTAAGGCATAAAAATGTCAGACTATATTAAGGCATAAAAATGTCAAAAAACATCATAGTATATTATGGCACAAAAATGTCAAAAAATGCCATAGTATAGTAAGGCATCAAATTGCCATAATATAGTAAAACATAAAAATGTCAGACTATAGCAAGGCAAAAAAATATTAAAAAAAACGTCATAGTATAGTAAGGCAAAAAAATATCAAAAAAACGTCATAGAATACTAAGGCATAAAATCGCCATAGTATAGTATGGCACAAACATGTCAAAAAATGTCATAGTATAGTAAGGCAAAAAAATGTCAAAAAATGTCATAGTATACTAAGGCATAAAATTGCCATAGTATAGTAAGGCATAAAAAAGTCAAAAAATGTCATAGCATACTAAGGCAATAAATTGCTATAGTATAGTGAGACATAAAAATGTCATACTATAGTGAGGCATGAAAATGTCAAAAAATGTCATAGTGTAGTAAGGCATTAAATTGCCATAGTATATTAAAACATAAAAATGTCATTATATAGCAAGGCAAAAAAATATCAAAAAAACGTCATAGTATAGTAAGGCAAAAAAATATAAAAAAAACGTCGTAGTATAGTAAGGAATAAAAAAGTCAAAAAATGTCATAGCATACTAAGGCAATAAATTGCTATAGTATAGTGAGACATTAAAATGTCATACTGTAGTGAGGCATGAAAATGTCAAAAAACGTCATAGTATAGTAAGGCATAAAAATGTCAAAAAATGTCATAGTGTAGTAAGGCATGAAAATGTCAAAAAATGTCATAGAATACTAAGGCATAAAATCACCATAGTATAGTATGGCACAAAAATGTCATACTATAGTAAGGCACAAAAATGTCAAAAAACGTCATAGTATAGTAAGTAATAAAATCGCCACAGTATAGTATGGCACAAAAATGTAAAAAAATGTCATAGTATAGTAAGGCATGAAAATGTCAAAAAATGTCATAGTATAGTAAGGCATTAAATTGCCATAGTATATTAAAACATAAAAATGTCATAATATAGCAAGGCAAAAAAATATAAAAAAAACGTCATAGTATAGTAAGGCAAAAAAATATCAAAAAAACGTCATAGTATAGTAAGGCATAAAAAAGTCAAAAAACGTCATAGTATAGTAAGTCATAAAATCGCCATAGTATAGTATGGCACAAAAATGTCAAAAAATGTCATAGTATAGTAAGGCATGAAAATGTCAAAAAATGTCATAGTATAGTAAGGCATAAAATCGCCACAGTGTAGTAAGGCATAAAAATATTAAAAAACGTCATAGTGTATTTAGGCATGAAAATGTCAAAAAATGTCATAGCATACTAAGGCAATAAATTGCTATAGTATAGTGAGACATTAAAATGTCATACTATAGTGAGGCATGAAAATGTCAAAAAACGTCATAGTATAGTAAGGCATAAAAATATCAAAAAATGTCATAGTGTAGTAAGGCATGAAAATGTCAAAAAATGTCATAGAATACTAAGGCATAAAATCACCATAGTATAGTATGGCAAAAAAATGTCATACTATAGTAAGGCACAAAAATGTCAAAAAACGTCATAGTATAGTAAGGCATAAAAATGTCAAAAAACGTCATAGTATAGTAAGGCATAAAATCGCCATAGTATAGTATGGCACAAAAATGTCAAAAAATGTCATAGTATAGTAAGGCATTAAATTGCCATAGTATATTAAAACATAAAAATGTCATAATATAGCAAGGCAAAAAAATATAAAAAAAACGTCATAGTATAGTAAGGCAAAAAAATATCAAAAAACGTCATAGTATAGTCAGGCATAAAAAAGTCAAAAAATGTCATAGCATAC